TTTCATTTCTGAACACCTAGCAGTGGATTGGGTAGGATTCCCCCTGCAGGAGCAGAAGGTGCCAGGTCCTTGTCAGTGCCCTTTTCCTGCGGAAGAGCTGTGCAAGGGCAGGTCACCAGAACGTGCGGGCGCCATTCAGCCTGATTAAAACATCACTGGAGCGGCCAACAGCAACACGGCCATGAAGTGCGTGGGATTTGAAAATCAGTTTTGAGCATTGTGCATTGTAGAGGCTTCTGAACGGACAGATTTTACAACTTTACAACTGTAGCATTAAGAAGCAGACAGTGACCGCAGGCACCTGACAGTGGAGCTTTGACAGTTTGATAAATTAGGACTGACACTTGCCAAAATGGCTGTCCTTCCCTCAGCCTGCCAGTTGAGCATTTACACTCTGTTAATTGAATTGGCAATTTGTGTAACAGTACCTGCCCCTGAGCTTTAGTAATGCTGGAGCTGCCATTTAGCTCCGTTAATCCAGAACTTGGGAATAAAGACGCTAAGCTTCACGAGAAATTATTGCAGATTTAAAATGACAGTCAGGGGCCCTGTTGCCAATTTTCCATTAAATGAGAAATAAATTAACAATAGCAATAATGTAGACTTATAAAACTGAAAGTTAAATTGACTTTCAAGTAGCACTGCGATTTGAAATTGCTGCTGTTCTGAGAATCAGGTTGCATATTTTACACACACACACACCAAAAAATGTTTGTGAAGTGTCCTTTCAGTTCACCTTCCTCGATGTTTAAGCACATTTAATAGAAAACACAGATAACAAAATTATCTAAAAATTAGCTTCGCTTTGATTGCTTAAATTTAAAGCAAAATAGATCAACACCATGTTAGCATTAATGGAACGTTATTTTATGTGTGCGAACAATAGTCTTTGACCTTTTAATCTGTAGCCTATGATCTCTCTTCACTCCACTTTGTCTAAATGCTGCTGTCTCTTTGTTCATCCTGTGCTATACAGTACTTCGAACAGTATTAATAATTCTCCCATTTTCCTTGACAAATTACTAGCTGTGCTTTCTCTCCTCCTCATTGTTTGGCTCGTGTTTTGGAGAACGCAGAAAGCTTCTTTTCATTTTCTTAGATCACTTACAGTACGAGAAGTGGCCTGTTAGCCAATATTTGTTTTATGTCTCAGCATACTGTATGTTCATACTGTGCATAGGATGTTGTGGAAGTTAGCAGAAAAAAGCACGCTATCATTGTCACCGATAAACCTGTGTTGCCATTGTGTATGGTTGTAGTTGTTTTAATCGAAGAACAAAATGCTAGGAGTGAAAAGCTTAGCATTTATTATTCATTCTGGCATTGAGGAGCAAATATAAAACTGCTCATTTGTTTTGATTAGGGCTCCAGTCTAATGATTAATGTGGAATTAGGAGGTTATGTAAATAATAAACGGATAATCTGCAAAGCCCAACATGAAAACACTGAACTTCAAGCTGCACATTAATGGCTTGCTACTCTTCAGCATCTTTTTTTGGGCTTTTCAGTTTTACTTAAAAGTGCTAGAAGGAATATTGTTCAGTTTGCGTCTTTTTTTTTATCTGCTTCTTTGTTTGACATCTGAGGTCAGCCTTTTGAGTTCTGTAGGAAACAAGGAAGTACCAGTAATAGATGTTTAACCAATTTACAGACTTGTAGTATTTGTTTCTGTAACGCATCAGTTCTTTAATTCAAATTGGTGGACAATGTTAAAAAATCCTTTCTCGCTCAATTGCAAAAATGAAAACCTTTTCAGGGTACAGTACAGCATAATACTTAAATTTTAAGTATCAGATTATCATTATAACTAACTCTCTATACATCAGGTATCTTAAATTTACAGTGACGTGTATTCACAAATCTACACAGTAACAAAGCATTGTTATCAACAACAGTATATGAGAATTAGAGTACTATGAGTTTCAGGTATCCTAGTAACTTGCCCAGTAAACCCTTGAGGTAAAATATAAGTTACTAAAACTATTTTATGCCTTCGGTTCTAAGCTGCCTAACCTTTTTAAAATATAGCCATGTCTTTAGAAACAAAAAACATTTTTCTGGTGTGGGGTTGTCAACAAATCTCTTGAAGCCCGAAGTCGGCATGAATGTGCCTCACAAAATTGGTTACAGCTGGTCAAGACAGAAAAACATTTTTTTTAACCATAATGACAAGAGTAATCAATTTATTTGTGGCAGTCTAGGAGTGACTTTCAGTGACTTTTAAGTGAAACTTTCAAACACGTTTTTTCATTATGCTCCTGCCTGCGTCTGCACTGTTGCCTGTTTTGCAGAACTAAGGCCGCTGTCCAGCAAAAGCAGTAGAGGAAAGCACGACCTTCCTGGGTACACCACTTGCCTGGTTGTATACTGTCCGCACCGCGGTGTGCAGCCTTGCTTAAAAAGCCCAGCTCTGACACGGGGGCGTAGGACATCGCTGGCAATGGGCGACTTAATGGTGCAGCCGATAAAAAGAAGTGCTATGTGCCCATTGAAAGCAGCGTAGTAATTAACGCACTGTCTACCAGTGCGACTGTGCTTCTGATGTGGTCACCCACTGTCTAGGCGCTACAGGCCTTTGAGTGATACACCATAGGAGGTTTCTTCTTTGCTTGAAGAACACAAAATTTAGAAAATAATGTAATTAAATGCCAATTAGAGAAAATGTGTCCATTTTTCTTCCTTTTCTTCCGAATGTTTTCAAAGCTACAAGGTGTCATATATGGCCCCCAATTACTGTGACTCGCACAATAGCAGTGACTCGCCTATTATGCTCGATAAACGATGCGCTTGCAGTCAGACAAGAAACCGTTGTGACTGTGAACTCGTTCTGTCTGGAGGAGGTGCTGGAAATGCAAGGTTGAGGCATTGCTTTTGATGAAGGAGTCTGGGTAAAAGGAGAATAGCTGAATTGTTAATGTGGTGATAGTAATAAAACCGTAGTTATGAGAGAGCTTTAAGGTGGCCAGGGGGCTTAAGGAATGGTGCCAGTTTGACATTTTAACTACGTTTTTATAAAATATTCACAACTTTTGGTTTTAGTTTGAAAAGATCCCCAAGGTCATTGAATTTTCCGCATATGAAAGAATGAATCATTTTACTTTTGGTGGTCCAGTAGATGTCTTTAAATTAGAGAAAGTGACACAATATTTTTAATTTAGATGTAATATTTAAAACGGCAAAGTGATATTTTGTGCAGCAGTGAGGGTTGCTGGAGCCATAAGCCAAAAACAATGCTTGGTGGGTAATTATGATGCAGCAGTTCCTCACCTGCTACACTGCAAGTGAGTTTTAAATATCTTTAAGTAAGAATTATGCAGTGGGAGATATTTCATCATTTATTTAGTGCCCCTGTTCTGGATTGGTATTGTGCCTCTCACTGTACGTTTCGTAATATTTTTTCACTGCCTTGTTTAAATAAAATTAAATGAGATAACAAGAACAGAAAAAAGGTAGCAAATGAGAGGAAGTCATTCAGCTCATCTCACATCTTAGGCAGTTAGTAGGTTTTTCATGCAAAAATATTTTATGTGTCTTATTTTTATTATTTATCTTATTTATTTATAAATATGTGTCTTTGGAAGAAACCAGGGTATCGGCTTCAATGGCAAGGCTGGGTGGCTTATTTCAGGTTCTTGGTATTGAAGGCACCAATACAGGATGGGTGGGTCACACAGAGAAACTTCACTACATTTTATTGTACTGTTTGTACTCTGTCTTTGTTACTAAGCGCAAATTAATCCCCCAACTCCACACCCTCGTGATCTGGAGATGTTTTCTTTTCTGTGGATGTTGTTTTTTTGGGGCTAAGGCCCGGAGGGAGGAAAAGGCTAAACGCTTAAAGCATAACCGGAGGGGAGAATTGTGTTTACTATTGCTGCAGATAAGTGTGGAATATTTGAAGGACAGCAAAGCTTCCTGCGGCTCGGTGTTTCTGTGTTCATCGGCACAGGAGCCCACAGGGGACCTGCTCCCTGACACTGCACTAACTGCTAGGCACACAACATGGAGGCGATGTTTACAACTGGTCCTTGAGAGTATTTAATGGCCATCCACTGCTTTTATTACATCATTAATTGCACTTAATGCAGCCACATTACCAGAACGCTTGGCTAAGCTCTGAAAATTAAGTACAGAGTACTTTGTTATAAAATTCACTGTAATGAGCTCTGGTGGGACAAGGTCTGTTAAGTTTGAAATCACCGCAGGCCATTTTCGAAGGACTGCGCATGGTGCTTCACCCACTTTAAAGTTGGAACTTGATAAATGCCCTAAGGGTGCTATTCTCCAGTTATCCAATGCTATGATATTATCTCTAATTTAGAAACAAGCTTCTTCACGCTACCTGGAACTTTAATATGTATGCATCGAATATATGTTTGGAAGTTTAGCTCATTTGTGAGCTGATATTGATTACGTTAATTACAAGCAAGCTTATTTTACTGCAGTGTTTAGGCTGTCACTGATATCAGGCATGTGTACAGAAATACTGTTTATTCCATCTGTGTCCTGTTACTAATAAAATTGATGCAGAGTGGACTGTAGTAACCAGTTCTGGACTCATGTGAAACGTTTTCTAATGTAAATGTATTTAAATGTACTGTATAGCAACACAGACACCCCACACCCTGCATTTTCAAGGAAATGTTAACAGATCATTTTAATATAAAGAGCAAATTTCACAAAAATGAGAAAAATCATTTAAATAGGTATCTTTCTTAAAGCAGCACATTCACACAGTGCTGAAAAGACTGGCACACCCCAGGTTCAATAAATTAACTTTTGTCCATGACGGTGCCATTTTAATATTATGCATCATCCTCTGCTTGATCACTCTTCCTCTATAGTACAGTACACATGGAGTTCTATTTTAGCTGAAAAGATCCCCACTCTCCTTTTTGCAAGCTTCCTTTTCTCTGGTCCCTCGTGAGTGCCGTCTCCTGAGTATGCCTTGTGTTTTAAACTGCGCTGTCTCTCCGCCTGATGTGTCTTCCTCTGTTCAGCTATAGGGGCTCAGCGCAGGAGAAGTCCCAGCGTTGTGGCAACAGAGATCTTTGAACAGCATCTGGGAAGCCACATTCTCCAGGTATGACTCCTCTTCCTGCCAGCGTGCTTTCACTGCTTCACATCTCCTTTCCTTCCCTTGCGATATCTTTATTTTTTATGAGACTTTTTTTTTTCCCTCGAGATCCTTTGCGACGCACAAAGAAAAAGAGAAATTTGCTAGAGTCTGGCAGACAATTTCTTATCTTGTTAACAAGTTGCATAGGGTCTTTATTCTGATTTTCCTTATCATAATTCATTTTTTTTCATTTGTATTAGTCATTCCGCAGTTCAGGGGCTCATGCGCTCTCCGGCCATGATCCCTCTGAGCCCCCAGTGTCGGCTGGTATTGATTCCAGCTGAGCTACTGTCTCTTAACCCAAACCTGGAAACTCTGCTGTGTTCTTCCAACTTCAAAATCTCATCACTTCCCACTGCATTTTCTTATGGATTTTCTTGTTATTGAACCCTGTGCTAGTTGTTTGCCTTAACGTATATTGGAGACTTATTTAAAATTTAAAAAATAGTCGTCTAAAGTCTAGAAATAAATGAATATAAATTGATATATAAAGATATAAATCGAGGCATGTTGATTTCTTGTAGCGATGCTGTTGGGGCACTGCACAGAACTACAGTACATGTGCATGTCTTTTGTGTATAGAAGGAGTTGCTTGTGGGACAGGGAGGTCAGATTTGGCTCACAGCATCACGAAAGCGTAACGACATACCGGTCAGCATCCCTTCAGTAAATCTAGTCAGTTCTTCAGATAGACCTTATTGAGGTGTTTTGGGGCTAACCAAAACATCTTTAAAGTATTTTGAAATGGTAGTATTTTTATGAAGTGACAAAACTTTGGAAAAGTAAAAAAAGGAGGTTCTTAGTTCATTTAAGGGCTAAAATAAGCAAGGGTTTGAGGGAAACGATACAGGACGTTCTTCTTCAAAGAGATGCAGACTATGAGTTGGGTCTCGGTCCTGTGAAACTTGCAGCTTTGGCAATAAGTGTGAACTGGTTATGACTTTGCGTAGCTAAAAAAACAGTCATAATGCAATGAGCTAAATCTTAAATCTTGCATGAGACTTGTATTACATGAACGGAAGGACCTCTGAGCAGCACAGTTCACCTAAAGCTCCCAGATATACAGTATCTGCTTTTGCGGCTGTATGAAATTGATATTTTTATGAAATAACGAACTGGTACTTATGGACAAAATGTAAGCCATTAATCTAGTTTTATCACATTCACATCATTTGAAATGTCTACCAGTCCAGCTGAAATAGGAGATTAACAACAGTAAAACTGAATAGCAGATATAGTATATACTATTTAACAAGTGGTCAACATGGTACAAATTCATTGTCACATTCAACTATATAACAACTGACACTTGTGATAAAAAAACAAACAAAGTTTATCACTTTGGCCTGTGCCTTTCACAGATGGGATGTCCCGGGTGAACCATTTCAACAACACATGACATTTGCATTGTGCTTGCGATTTATTCCTGCCTCAGATATAATTGGCTGATACACTTTTGTGCAGAGCGTCGTGCAGTTGTGCCCAGCTCAGGTGGGTATTTTAACTGGAGCAGTTTGAGTGTTTACCTTGCTACAACAGGGTACAACGGCAGTGTTCTCGAATTCAAACCCACAGCCTCCCAGCCACCTGGACAGAGCTCTAACCACTACTCCACACTTACTTTTAATATTTCTTATGACAATTTTATATATTTTGAAAAATCAGTGTTTATTGGACTGTAAAGGCACTTGTACAACATATGGTGATCAGGTATGCAGTTGTAATGGCACCAATTATTTTCATTTAGCCAACCCCCATAGACGCTTGGCATATTAGTTCACCCATATGCTAAGGGGCTGCAAAGAAAAATCATGGATTTTATAGGATCAGATTTAAGTACTTATTAACCGTTTTTACAAATTAGGATTTCTGGTACCCTCTCTTCATCTCCTAGCATTGAAAAGTGTGGAACAGTGTTTTCTTGGAGACAGGAGTTATTGAGACAATAAATATTTAGCCTCAAGGCTTGTCATTTTCTTCCATTGCTATTTGTTTGATAAATCTTAAATTTCAAGCACTGTACCTGTAAAACCAAAATAATAAAAAAAAGATTAAGCTCATTTTCTCACATGACTGCATCTGCTGTGCTGGGGAATGAATTTGGACAGTCATATATCATATATGTATCCGTTTTATTCAAGCTCTAATTCAAATATTTTGAAAATATAGTGTTCCCACTAGGTTTTGGTAAAAAAAGAAGACTCTCTGCACTAATGCCCAAGAGTCTAAGAGTGCAAAACAACAGCACTATTTATTGTCCTATACTGTAAGTACTTATTCAATTGAAATTGACAGGTCTTTGGGCTTTCCTAAACTCCCCAGGTTAAAGCAAAAAAATAATACTTCTTTCGGAGTTAACTATTGAATGGACAGACAGAGAAATCACATTTGCACCATCACAAAAATTATTAGACAACATTTACAAATAAATTTTTTGGAATGCAGTAATAAAGTCAGCCTAGACTCATAATAAATCTTTTTTTTTTTTGCTCTCATTGCCTGATACTTGGATATGTCTGTGTCTAACTGCAGGTGAAAATTGCCTTTCAACAGGTTAAGTGTCTGACAAGGAAAAGGAAATTTATAATTAACATCAATACCAGGCCGAAAGTCTGTTGAGGCGTGGCCTTTTCAAGGAAGGACTTGTTCCTGGCAAATTGTCCCCATTAATCTTCAGCCTAATTGATTGTGAAAAGTTTTAGGATGACATTTAAAAAAACCATGCTCGGCTGGTGATTGATTTAGGGAAAATGAACTAATAATGAATGCAAGGCAGTCATTACTTGTTGAGCTCACCAGCTAATTTTAGACAGATTAGACTGTGTTTGATAGCGCTTAATAAAGAAGACTCCTGATGAGCTCTTCTCTGCTTTACCTGCTCTGTGTGTGTACACCAGCATTCCGGCTCACAGGAGAGTTCATTGTTTTTTTAGAATACCGTCTTCTTAAATATCCAGGGCTCTTAAAATATCTTTCCCTTCTTTGTTTCAGCTAGAAAGCACATCCTTAAAAAATAATTTGTTTTTAACTGCTAGGAGCCTTGAAAACATCATATTTAGTAGTAGCTCAAGAGAGTGACCTTGTGAAACAGTAGGTATGTTTTGAATTCGCAACGCAGTTGTCAATTACGGTGCTATTGTGCTTTTCCTTTTTCTGCTATTTTCTGTCTGCCGAGAAGCAGTTTGTGGGGGGAAAAAAGGCCTATACAATTGTAAGACAAAAAAATCAAGGTTTACATTTTCTCAGTGTACATTTAAAAAAGAAAACGAAATTTAAAAGAGTTATGTAAAAAATATGTAGGAGTTTTTTTTTTTCAGCAGTGTCTGTTAAATCTAGTTCAGCTTTTATTGAGATTATTTTGTCAACATTAAAATCTAAAACATTACTTTGATAAGAATTGCTCTTTAGCAATCTAAGTGAGCAGACTCTGCCCTTCTAAAATGAGACAGGATGGGTCAACCACTTCAGTGTAAATTCAGGATTGGTCAGATTAATTTTGCAGGCTCAGCCAGTGATGTTTACCTCTGAAGTCTTCTGCCAGTGAGCTGCTGTGATGTTTTTATTAACTGACTTTCTTGAGGTTGTTTGAGATGCAAAATTCCTGCACCTTTTAGTACACATACAACCTTTGAGCATTACTTGGTATCAGAAATAAAGACAGTGGATTAATCTGGATTCTACCAATAAAAAAGGAACCGTATTCTCTCTATGTATTGCAAGTGCTGTTGAATTACCAACTAATCCAACCTTTAGTATTTCTAATCCAGCCCTCCAAAAGTGTTTTTGTCTTACTGTATTGTGTTTCTTTTCTTTTTACTCCTCTGACCTGTCTGCCCTGGGCAGAATCTCTATAGAAACCCTTTTTTGTAAGTGTTTTGTTTAACTGAAAAATGCATAGAATAAATTTAAGGCTGTGTTTTGTTGTCTAAGATAATCAATTAACTGATTTTATATGCACGCAGTTCTTAAGGCAGCTGTCCGCAGTACCAGAAAAGGGGCAGCTTTTTAACATTTTCCTTTAAACACTGTGAGAAAGAAGGCAATTATTCAGTATGATTTAAGAACAGTCTAGGCTGCTGAGGTGTTTTCTTATAAATTGGACTTTTACAAGAAATGGAGGTAAAACATTTTTTAATTCTCCTCGAGAGTTTACAATACAGCGATTAACGGTGAAACAAAAGGATCTTTTAAATTTGGTTTATCCTATTCACATTTAATAGGTATGGAAATAACTATGGCTTCCATTGGGAATTACCGACGTGCTGAGGCAAAGATATTAAAAGGAAAAAGGCGGCTGTGAAGAAGCCTGTTTCTTATGCAGTTCAGAGCGGGCAGCGTTCTGGACTTGTAAGAAACAGGAGCTCTGTCCTTTTCGGAACTGGCTGCTCTGAATACTCATTAACACCATACTGGGACATCCAGGAGATGTGTGTCCGTGGCGTGCCTGCGCTTGGATTTTGTAGGGTGCATGACAGACACTTAGCAAATCTCATTGGCCAGCAAAAGTCAGATATTATGCTGCGGCAGGATGGAGTGTTGCTTATTGTGGTGCCGCGGCACAGAGCAGAGGAGCTGGTTTGAGGGCAATGACAGCTCTCAGCACTGTTTGTTGACCGTTTTGTTGCCTCCTGCTGAGTGTTGTCATTTCTATAGTCAGTGGGCTGTATTGAATCAGACAGCGGCAATAGGTCATTAACAGAAATGGAAGACATTCTCTGGCATGCAGAGAAAACCTCTCTGCTGCTTAAATAATAGCATTTATATCACTGGCATAATAGTTTACATGAAATAAATTAGACCCTTGCAGACACTTTTTAAGCAGAGCTGGCAAATAAAAAAGGCTCAGCTGCTCACGAGGGGCAGGGACGCCGTTTCTAAAAGGGGTGGCGAGGTCCTTTCCGCGATAAACCTCTGCGAGACAAAATAAATCTTTTGTAATTAGGCAGAGAGGGCTAACTGGGCAA